CCCCCAGCTTGAGTCCCCCCTTCCCTGTCCCCCTCCCCTCCGCGTCCAGGGGCTCGCGATCTCCGGCGCTCCGCCCGCCTCGAGGCAGCTCAGCTTGGTGGCCCTCGCGGAGGACTGACGATCGCGGATCGCCGCGGCCCGAACGCGGCGGGGAAGGAGGGCGTCCGCCGGGCAGCGCGGCTGACATCTGCGGTCACGGGGTCGGCCTCCCGCGCGGAGAGCGGCCCCGTGCGTCCCTCCGTGAGTCGATCGGTGGGTCCGTGCAGCCGGCTCAAAGCCCTGGGCTCCCGGCACCAAATGGGAGGCTACACCAGACCGATGGCGGCGGTGGCGGCCCTGTCGGGCCCGGGGGTGAGGCTGTCGCCCTCGGCGGCGGCCCGCGGCTCGTACGGCGCCTTCTGCAAGGGGCTCACGCGCACCCTCATCACCTTCTTCGACCTGGCCTGGCGGCTGCGTACGAACTTCCCCTACTTCTACGTGGTGGCCTCGGTGATTCTCAACGTCCGCCTGCAGGTACATATTTAGAGCAACTTTGTGGCATTCGGGGTGGGGGGCCCGGCGGGATGGCCGGCTTCCACCCACCGGCTCGCCAGCCCTAGAGCAAAGCGGCCAGTTCGACTCTCCCGCACGCAGACTTGCCGGTCTGCCTTTCCACTGCCTTATCTTTTAATGTAAATGGGCGGCTAGAAATCATCGTTTGCCCCAAGCCCACAGTACAACCAGGAAAGCCTAAGATAGAATGAAAAGGTGATTCTCTAGGAAATAGATAATTCAAGGAACAAGGAAAGAACTGTAAACTCGGAAAATCCTCACAAATACTTGAGAGGCTCTTGCATCCATAAAAACACAAAACAGCCCAAACGGTAGGAAATGACCATGGTCACAGGATGCCCGAAGGGGGAAAACAAGAGGAAAGGTTGCTAAGAACTTAAAGGTAAACTAACCGTACCATAGTGGTGCAACTAGGAGGCAAATCTTCCAAACGAGAAAAAGGGGTGAACAGACTTTCAACGCAAGGGAATGAATTCTGAGCAATAGATGGGTTGAGTTAGACGCTGGAGGAAATGCATATGATCTGGAAGGCATACATTTCTTCATCCCCAAAGAGAAGCCAGTGGCGAACGGAAACTGCAGAGGAGAACGAACCTTTCAAACTGTACGACGAAGGCATGCTTCAAATATAAAGCAACCTCGGACGGGGCCTGGTTTTGAAGAGTTACCAGGAGTGGAAGAAAGGGAACCCGCTTGGACACTGATTGGCACGTGCACCATGACTCTGCGGTCACAGAGGAGACCAGTCACCCGGTTCAACCCAGCTCTTCAGTGAACGATATCGGAATAATCATTTCAGTGGAAATATACGTTACGGTTTCCCGTTTTTAGACTGAATCTGTCAGCTAAGAAGGGAAGACAGTTACAGTTGTAGAACCAGACGGCAATGTTAGCCACTCGGACAGTGTGGGAGTCCAGGCAATAAGCAGGCAGGCAGAGAGGAGGAAATGGAACAGTGGTGTTAATTCTCAGAAAGCAGAAAGTCCAGATTCTGTCTCTAGTTGAAAGAATAAGGCAGGTTTGGGGATTGTATTATTAAAGTCAACAAAGTAGCTAACAGGAGATTTAAACATAGTGATTCAGCCATTTTGAGCGGGTAGGAGGTTCTGGGAGGGCAGGAAGTCAAAAAATTCCTCCTGTTATCAAGTCAAAAAATAGTAACAAAAGCATATTCTCAAGGAAGAAAAAAGGTAACCACTAAACAGACGTGTAAACGTTTTTTGCTGCTGGCTGGGGGGAACTGCGTTGAACAGGATGGGCAGGGATTTACTACTTTTCATCATATGCCTTTTTTATTATTTGATTTTGTGAAAACTGTGTATGGATTGCTTTGATTCAAAATTAAAACTTATTGGGGCGTCTGGGTGGTTCATTCGGTTGAGCATCCAACTCACCGATTTCAGCTCAGGTCATGATCCCAGGGTCAAGGGATCGAGCCCTGTGTCCAGCCCATGCTGAGGGTGAAGCCTGCTTAAGATTCTCTCTCTCCCTCTGCCCCTCTCCCCTGCTCACTCTCTCTCTAAAGTAAAAAAAAAAAAAAAAAAAAAAGAAAAAAAAATTGCAGATCTTCAGTCCCCTAAATCAGAACCTGCATTTAAAAAAAACTAAAACTTATTAAAAACTGCATTTACTGCAATTAGAAGGAAATTTGGGGGAGGGGGAGCTGGTAGACCCCCAAGGCAAAACTTTAAAACTAAAAATGACCAGTAATCTTCAGGTAGCCCAGAGCTTCCTCACTCTCTGAAACTGCACAGGCAAATTTCTGCAGTGTCGCAGTTAAGGTAAAAAAAAAAAAAAAAAAAAGCGAGAGAGAGAGAGATTTATTTTATAAAATTTATAATTTTTCAAAACTGTTTTCCGGTTTTGTTGAGATATAAGTGAACATCTAACATTGTGTAAATGTAAGCTGTGTAGTGCGTTGATTTGATACCCTCCTATAGCTGACACCTCTATCACATCACATAATTAGTTTTTGTGGTGAAAACATTCCAGATTAGTCTCTTCTCAACCTTCAAGTATATGACAGAATATTGTTAACTGTAATCACAACTCTGTCTTAGCTCCCTAAAGTTCGTTCATCTTCTAACTGGGAGTTCGTGTTTATGGACCAACACGGAGGTCCTCACTTCCCCCACCCCCCCCCCCATCCCCGCTCCCAGTAAACGCCATCCCATTCTGTTTCTGTGGGTTTGGCTGTTTTAGATTCCCCATTTGAGTGCGGTCATACAGAATGTTGATGGACATTTGGACGAGTGCCTCAAGATGTTTAGACAAGATGCCTACATTTTAGTGTTGGTCATAATAGCGAGACAGTGGAAATTAACGAAATGTCCACCATTAGTGTAGGGGCACAGGGCAGGCCGCCCCAAGATGGGCCGCTTTGGCATGAACATTATTTTGAGTCAAAAGCAATCCAAACCCAGCACATGCAGGAAAAACTCTTCACCTCCCCCTCAACTGCCTGTCTTTACCGGGAAGAGAGCTGGGAACCGAGATTCCTTTTTACTTAAGAAACTTCTCTGCATAACAGGGCGACCTTTGTTTTCCAAACATCTCCTCCCCGCTTCCAGCTAATGGTCTTTCTCCCCTTTTATTTTTAGGCCCTACCCCTCTTCTTAGCTCCTATAAGCCTCATGTTGCCTCACTGTTTTTGTAATCTCAGGTGTGTGTGGATTCCCCATATGTCTGCTATTAAATTTGATTTTCTGTTAACCTGTCTTCTATCGATTTGATTCTTCGTCTGGCAAGAAGGACCTCGAAGGGCAGAGGAACTTCCCAACTGTAAGCTTGGTTGAATAAAAATAGCACAACTATATAATGGAGTACTGTGTAGCCATCAAAAATAAGGGATTCTAGGGGTGCCTGGGTGGCTCAGTCGGTTAAGCATCTGACTCTTGATTTCAGCTCAAGTCATGATCTCAAGTTCCTAAGTTCGAGTCCCACATCAGGCTCTGCACTGACAGCGTGAAACCTGCTTGGGATTCTCTCTGTCTCCCTCTCTCTCTGCCCCTCCTCTGCTCATGCTCGCAATCTCTCTCACAAAATAAATAAACTTAAAAAAAATAAAGAATTCTATTTTATAGAAGTGGAATGAATTTAATAGATGGGAAGTCATGTCACAAATGGCTTATGATTGAACCAGAGGGGGGAAGTGCACGCACGCGCACACACACACACACACACACGTATATATGTGTGTATATTTGCGCACTCCGCTTATATAGAAATAAGAATACTTGGGGGGGCGCCTGGATGGCTCAGTCATTTAAGTGTCTGACTTCGGCCCAGGTCATGATCTCACAGTCTGTGAGTTCGAGCCCGGCTTCGAGCTTTGTGCTGAAAGCTCAGAGCCTGGAGCCTGCTTCGGATTCTGTCTCCCTCTCTCTGCCCCTCCCCCACTCACGCTCTGTCTCTCCCTCTCTCAAAAATAAAATAAACATTAAAAAAGCATTCTTTACAGCAGATATTCAAATGAAAGCAAATTGGTTTCTTTTTTTTTTTTCCAACGTTTTTATTTATTTTTGGGACAGAGAGAGACAGAGCATGAACGGGGGAGGGGCAGAGAGAGAGGGAGACACAGAATCGGAAACAGGCTCCAGGCTCTGAGCCATCAGCCCAGAGCCCGACGCGGGGCTCGAACTCACAGACCGCGAGATCGTGACCTGGCTGAAGTCGGACGCTCAACCGACTGCGCCACCCAGGCGCCCCAAAAGCAAATTGGTTTCAATGTAGAAAGTGTAACTAGTTATATACCACTTCTCAGAAAACACATCTTTTTGCCCATTATCAAAGATCAAGTATGCCCATTTCTAAACAGTCACAGTTTAAAATTTTAACTTGCAAAGAGCAGGGGCTTTTGGTTTCACTTTTCAAATTATTTCTCCTAATTCACTGCAGGGATAATTTCTCTCATACCACAGATTTAAAAAAAAAAAAAAACGAGTGTAAGGACAGCATCCTCTGATTTATTAACCTCTTTCCATGCTCCTCAGACCTTCAAGAGCTGAATATCTCTGGCATCGTTTAGCATAGGCTTGTTGTAGAGTTAGATGCAGTTCTCTTGAGCTCTGCTAACACTACCCTAGAGCAACAGAAAATATCCTTTAACCCAAACTTTCTATGCAATTCTCTGAAAGCACCAGATGGGAGGGAGTGCCTCTCTTAATGCCCACGATTTTCTACTTTGACTCTATCATTTCCCCCTTCCACGTCCTCTCCTTATAAGACCGAGCATCTGACTTTACAGACACAGATGTCAGACTCCAGACAGACCCTGGACTTCTTCAGCTTGGGCTTTCTTTTGTGACCCTTGAACCCCCTTCCTTGGATGCAGTTCCATGACTGCCTTCAGACTCACACCGGTTTTGGTCATTTGAATGACTACTAGCATTGACACTCTTCTCCAGCAACTCAAAGACACTGTCTCTAGAACCCTTGTCTCCAGTGTAGGGTGGAAATGGAGAGTTGTAAGCATTGTCTTTCAAGTTATGACTTACCATAAGTCCCCCTTTGGGTGTTTTTACTGCAAATCTAAGAGCTTCACTTCAAATCCTCCCTGAAAAGTGCTTGAGAACCTGGAGGTCGGGTTTATAAAGCCAAATTTTGTTGAACCAAAGAATCTAAATGATCCTGGGTAAGGTAACCAAAGTCTCATAAGGTGGAGGCTCCAGGACGAGCAAGGATATCCAATATTCCAGGGCTTTACTGGATGCTAATGTCTTTCCATCACCTGTATTTCTACCCCAAATACTCCTGTGGTGTGGGGTACTGAATCCCAGTGATTTCTGGCAGTTCCCAAAAGGTGGGGATGTTAAGTAGAAAAATAATGTAGACAGTAATGACCTTCTACTCCTTGGATTCTTAGCATGTACAAACACCCTTCTTCCTTTCAAAGGATTCCAAAAATACTCCCTCCTGGCATAACTTAATTACTCCATGTACAACCAAGAACTACCCATACAAACATTTTTAGTTGTAGGTGAGGTCATGGGGCCTCCGTTTATAGTTCAGTTTCTCCCGGTGATGACTCTTCTCTAGCCCTCTCATTATCCCAACTGGATATTGATATTCTGCAATTCTATGGCCAAATGGTGAATTCATCACCACCACTCTATCCTATTTGCAAGACTAAATAAGAGGTGAGAGAGTTGAAAAAGCAAATAATCATCAGTGAAATACAGGTAGAGGGTAATCATTAGGGAAATACAGGTAGAGAGTGAAGTCCTCAGTTCTGCGGTGGCCACGAGGTCCTGTCATTTATGATTTCTCTATCAATCTCACGTTATTTTTGTCTTTCTTATGGGGGAAGCTCAGTCCTTCATTCCTGAGGAGTCTGAGCCCTTGATGGTCCTTGGTAGGGTTGCAATGCATGTGGGGATTCCCTGAGTCTCATCCATATTCCTCCTCGTCCTCATTCTATAGCATGAACACCATGATCACTTGTTTTGAGTGGCTTCAGGAGCTAAGAGTGGCTTCAAATTTGGTGGAACCA